TACTAGGGAATTAGGCGTTGATTTGATTTAATTGTTATTGAACAATGAACTGTACTTGTAAGAAGTGTCAACTATTGTGTGTTTGTATTGGATAAAGATGTATATATTATAGTCTATAGTTTTAATCAAAAGGCATGATTTGTATAGTCTGTCAGTTCCAAATGCTAAACCGTCCAATGTTGTTGTTATAATGATCGGCCATGTTTTATTGTGGCCTTGCCGCCATCTTTGTTTGTTATATTTGTAAATCTGAGTTAATCCATTATTGTACCACATAGTGGATGACACGTATTGTTGAAATCTTTACTAAGGATACAACCGACGATTATCATAAACAGTGTTTATTTCCAGGACCATCTATCTTTAGTTATTGTTTCTGGTCATGCTGATTTACCACTGACTTATTCTCACAGGCTTGTAAAAATTATATTAGGAGGGCCGTGTCCAGGAATATGAGCAGCTGGGGGTCAAAGGTGGAGACAACGTTAAAGTTGACGTTAGGTTGGAGGACACTACCTGCGAATTTGATAAAACCAGAAGCTTGGAGAGAATATTTCTGATCATTTAGGTGCAAACATGTATAGGATTGCAGTGGAGTGAGAGTTATTTCTATGAATATAGGAGAGAAAAAAATACCTCCCCACCCAACCTTTAGACACACGACTAATTAGTTATTGTCCTGGGCTGTAAATAATATTAGATTTACCATATATTATATCATTCACGAATTAACTAATACTTGACATTTTGAACTTAAAAACATTAAACATGCATTATGCAAGAGCTAAAACTGCCTGTTGCAGGTCTTGCTTTAGGCCTGAAATGTTATATAAATTATTAATTAGACATTAATTAACTTACAAAGACCATAATCAACTCTTAATGCCATCGGATGGCTTCGATATTATAACCGTATAAATTGGATAATCTCGACTTTGTTTATAATCATAACAACGGTAGTAATGACAATCAAGGCTAGACTATAATTTGGCTCAAAGGAAATTAATTTGACTCAAATTTTCAGCACATTCTCTGTTCATTATTTATTTTTAAACTATTATAGCGAGAAGATTGTCAGCTCTTTATCTAAATCTTACCTAATGCCTCTTTAACAAAAACATAGAAAAAAAAGACAAATCTGTTGTGATACTCCTTCTAAACATTGGTTTTATAGACCTTTAACCCTCTGTCCTCCACAAATGACGCCGGAAAATCTTGATGATATTTCTCGGCCAACGAACTCCAATCTAGCGAGCCAGCGTCTTACTCACTTAGCCACCGTGGCTCCCATCTAGCAAAGTAAAATTGATCATATGATCTTCTGAATCTGAAAGTGAAAGCAGATCATCCATCGTCACTTATCGTAACATTATAGTAGTAGGATAAGTGAGAATGTGCTCTGGTAATAGCAATCCTTTTAAATTATTAAAAGTCCTCTTTTCTAGTGTAGTTACTTGGAAAAGCAGAGAAATTTCTATTAAATCTGCATGTACTCTTAGCTTTGTCATCTGATTTAGGATTTGACCCCTAAAAAAAAACAAATTCATATTATTACTTGTTTTTTATAGTTCAAAATTTCGTTTTACTTGTCTTCACTACACTAGGATCTGAAAGAGTTGTTATATAACTGGCATTCTGGTTGAAGTGAGGGATTAGCCAATGAAACGGTCTGTTACGCCGAGTTGTTAACGTGCGATGCACAGAACTGTGGGTAAACCACTAGATTAATCAATGTCTGACGTCATAGGACCCCTGACGCGACCTTACAGTACAACCAGTGAGATCTTCATGTAGTGTAGGCCATCGAAAGTATAAAAAAATGAAATGAAATATAGATCTGTATTTTAATTCAAACATCATTCCATCAATTGAACCAAGGAACAGAATAACTATGTCCGATGAGACTCATTTATGAAGAGTTTTTTTCCCGTCTGGTCAAAATTTCCCTCATAACACACTGCATTTCGTGTGCCTGTCTTCATTAGCCTGGATGATGTAGAATAATAGGTGTTGGATCCCTGCATTGGCCGAGAAAGTTCATCCCGATTTTTCAGCGTGGTTTCCTCTTGTCAGTGGTGCAGGACGGAGGGCCTGACAAGGACAGCTGTCTAGTCGTTCGGATGGGACGGAAAACCTAGGTCCCGTGTAAACATTGGAATGCACTTAAAAGATCCCTTGGCAGTTGGAATTCGATATAAGAGTAGGCGATAGTGCCGCTGCCCGGGCAAAATTTCCCTCATAGCACACTTTTAGGCGTATGCCCATCTTCATTAGCCCAGTATAGGAGCAGAACAGTAGGAAGTTAAACCCCATTTCATTTCATTTAAGATTAGATCAAACAGTTGATTTTACACACAGAAATCAGTTGACAATTGGTGATGTAATCGATCTAAATTCTGTCAACAATTTTAATGATTGATGAAATGAAATGAAATGGGGTTTACCGTCCTACTGTTCTGCTCCGACTGGGCTAATGAAGATGGGCATACACCATACAGTGTGCTATGAGGGAAATTTTACCTGGGCAGTGGCACTATAGCCTACTCTTATATCAAATTCCAACTGCTAAGGGATCTTTTTACGTGCATGCCAATGTATACATGGGTCCTTGTTTTTTTGTCCTATCCAAACAACTAGACAGCTATCCTTGTCAGCCCCTTCATCCTGCGCCACTGACAAGGGCAAATGACCCCGGAAAATCTTGATGAACTTTCTGGGCCAATGCAGGGATCGAACATGCGACCTCCAGGCTAGCGAGCCAGCGTCTTACTGACTTCATGATTGATGAAGAAGTTGTTCATCATCAACAATGTTGTTGTTTGATACACATGTCTAGAATTTTTAAAGCTGATCTCTTGATTTTTCGCTCCAAATCCAGAATTTGAAGTGCATTGCGTATGCTATTTACAGTTTTATAACAAGGCTGCAAGATATATGTACTTGTAAATCAGAAGAAATGTAACGTAATTTTGAACGTGTTTGTTGAAGTGTTGCTAGATGTGTTTTAGTATGTGATGAGATGATTATTGAGTGTTGCCAGCCAACCACATGTATACAGATTGTCCAGTGATATATTTAATCTAGATTGTGTTTATCTAGAATTGTATAGAGTTGTTCCCCCTTCCCGTTAATTACCTATTGTGTCGTTTTGTTGAACATGTGATTAGTATCAGGACTGTTTTTTTGTATGTATGGAATTTGAAAACATTTTGTTTAAATCATCTTTTTTTTTCAGTGAAAAATTAATTCTGTTAATGCTGATAAAAATGCTCTGAATTTGTTATCAGGGTTTAAAACTTATCCCGATACTAATTGAGGCTGTCAAATGAGTTGTTGTCTGTGGAGTGTCATCCTTGATATCTGATGTGTACCAGGTCGCGGGTTTAACATCAGTCAAGAAAAACTCCCAACACAAAGCGGTGGATTACCAAAGATTTCATATTTCTGTTAACATCTTTGATACTAACATCAATATGTTTCATTCCAGTCCAATTGTTAAAAAACGAGAAATTAAAAAAAATCAACTTGTCAAAGTTCAATAAATTGAACGCATTGTTAGAAATATTTTTCATCCTGAAATGAATTCAAATACAACTTTTAAAAATAATTTTCACTGCACACAACCCTTGCTTTATGTGGGCTGTACCCTTTTATGCAGCTTTTTTTCATTAATAATATGTGTCTATCGTGATGTTTTGGCCTTTAAAGAAATTTTATTACAGATTATTTTAATTTGCTGCTTTTTTTTTTTTTGAAAGATTTGATTTGTTTTTGCTTTGACTATTAATACTGAGTGTATTTATTCCAATCTCTTAAACAATGATAAAACATTTATTTATTTAACAATGCTAATAATATTAAAATATTGGCATCAATTCATGTTTCTGTTTCTCTTTGACTTTGATTTTAGACCTAATGACTTTGATTTTAGAGCTGTTGACTTTGATTTTCGACCTAATGACTTAGATTTTAGACCTAATGACATTGATTTTAGAACTAATAACTCTAATGACTTTGATTTTAGACCTAATGACTATTGACTTTGATTTTAGACCTAATGACTTTGATTTTAGACCTAATGACTAGACCTAATTACTTTGATTTTAGACCTAATTACTTTGATTTTAGACCTAATTACTTTGATTTTCGACCTAATCACTTTAAGTTTAAACCTAATCACTTTGATATTAGACCTATTGACATTGATTTTAGAAATAACGACTTTGATTTTAGACCTAACGACTTTGATTTTAGACCTAACGACTTTGATTTTAGACCTAACGACTTTGATTTTAGACCTAATGACTTTGATTTTAGCTAGTTTTATAAAGAAATTTGAGCTTCCTATGTGATCATATGGTTGATATTGAAATATTGGCACCAACTTGCGTTTCTGTTCCGTTCCTCTCAGATTTCTTATCTTATATGTTTAAACGACTTTGGGTTTAGATAATTTGTTGATGCAGTCAGATGCTTGATAGCACGTAAGATTCTGTATCAGACTTATTCTTAAAAGAATAACCAACATAGGAATTTGTGAAACTAACAGAGACTAAAATCGCACTCTGAAATTATTATTCCGGGCTCTCAAATTTGAATCTCTTGAGTTTGTAAACTACCTGCAGTATTCTGATCAAGATACCATTGTAATTAAAAAATGTATTGACTTCTGGAAGCCATACTCTTGATATGAGTTATTTTAAAAATGCAGTCTTTTCATTGGATAAAAGCTAAAATTTGAACAAAGATTTTAAACCTCAATCAATGAAAACAGGGCATCCTTGACACATTTTATTTTTCAAGAATAAGTCACCAGGACTATAAAGTGAACAAAGAGGATTGAAAGTTTTTACATTGTTTTGTGTTGAGTAATTAGCATGGAATGCCAATCAACATTGCCTTGATAACTGTTACTGTACATTTATACCAATTAAAGTTACACCAATAAAAATGTCTTGATATCTGGCTTGTATTGATTCATTTGCTTTCTTCTTTTCCAGCCTGGTCAGACGATTATCAGTATCAACTTTTTCCGACTGTTCCGAGTGATGAGGTTGGTGAAGTTATTGAGTCGAGGAGAAGGTATAAGGACGTTACTGTGGACCTTCATCAAATCATTCCAGGTGAGAACACCGTTTATTAGGCCATCATAATTCGTTAACCGTAGCATCCATATACTGCAAAGCAAGAATACTTTTCGAAAAATATGAGTTGTGAAGCTGTAGACTGGAGATTAACTGATAAAAACTAAGCGGTGATATATATATAGGTGGAAGGATTCTATGTAGCAACTGTCAAGGATCTGTAGATGCTAGCAGAATAGAGACTATGTGTAGATTTTGGTGAGATTTAGTGATGACCCAAGAAGAACAGAGACTACGTGTGGGTTCAGGCAAGATTTTATGATAAAGTTATCATTAATTCTCACCAAAATCTACACTAGCCTCTGTTCTTCTTGGGTTAGGAGATCCTTTACTTGCTTATTCTTACATATGAGTTGTGGTAGTTTGAAATATTGCATGTGGCACATATTTCATGCTAAATACCTTACAATGTGAGTTGTGAAGGTTGACAATATTTCGTGGTAAATATAGAAATGTGAGTTGTCATGGTTTGAAATATTTAAGTGTCATCAGGTGATCAAATCCTCCTGTGAGACATTTCCTAATAATGTCCCAGATGGACTTAATAATGTATACGACTTTAGAGATTAATTAACTTTTTATTATTATTTTAGGCTCTTCCATATGTAGCATTATTAATTGTAATGCTTTTCTTCATCTATGCAGTAATTGGAATGCAGGTAATTCATTTATAAACCAAACACATCTAATATTATGAACAAAATTCAATACTGAGATGGATTATCTCCATACTGAAAGTACTGCCGATGGGTGGAAGAATCCCTTTACAGTGCAAGCAATATTGGATCTTAGTGATACAGTTCGGAAAATGAATGAAATGGGGTTTAACGTCCTACTGTTCTGCTCCGAACTGGGCTAAAGAAGACAGGCATACACCATACAGTGTGTCATGAGGGAAATTTTGCCCGAACAGTGACTAATGCAGGTATCGAACACCCGCCCTCCAGGCTAGCGAGCCAGCATATTACCCACTTAGCCAGCGTGACCACCTGATAAGGTTTGGGACCAAATAAAAAATTAAAAATGTATTAGAAGCAGGGTAGTTTTATCCAAGACGTGTTTCAGGTGATTGCCCATTATCAACATTCCCTTTAAAATACAATAAATTTTACTGTTAAAATGTCTTGTACTGGTTCGGTCATCAATGACTAAAAATGTGAAACAAATTCTCTATGGAGAGAATCTGTATAAGAGATATGGTTCACGTGTGACACCCATATTATGCAGTGTGCTATGAGGGAAACTGAGAGTCTACCCATAATTTGATTACAGCTGTCTTTGGGAGGTGGGGGGGGGGCTAATATGCTTCTCCTTGTTGATTTCCGGAGAATGGGTGGCCGTCAAGTGGTTTAACACGTATGCATGAAATCATAAAGTCTGTTATTGAGTCAAGTGTCGTGTCCAACAACCTCGTGGTTTTCTCTGTGTCGTCTGATTTCCTCCCACTGCTAAAGACCCCTACGCACAAGCGAATTATTGAAAATAAAAATGAACCACATGTTAGTCCCAAAATGACCTAGTTTGTGTTAAGTGGGAAGGAAATGAAATGGGTTTTAACGTCCTACTGTTCTGCTCCGAACTGGGCTAATGAAGACAGTGTTAAGTGGACTCTCTCTCTCCCCCTCTCTCTCTCTCTCTCTCTCTGGTTGACATAAAAAACGAGGGCCATTAATTAATAAATTTCAGCATGTCTTTACTCTATCCTATATATCATCTGCAGTGGACGACGAATGGTGATAAATTTTCAATGCATCATAACTTTGTAAATACTGAAGGGAATTGAATTATCAGTCTACTCATGTTTATAGTCATAACTCAATTTGTTATTTCAGATATTTGGTAAAATTCGTCTGGATGATTCTACACAGATTCATCGGAACAATAATTTCCAGACATTTCTGCATGCTTTATTAGTCCTTTTCAGGTAAACTTTTATTACATTTTGTTTTTTTATTCTACTGAAGCTTTATTTGTATACGCCCACATTCAAATGTGGTCGCATATTGTCGTCGCCCCCCCGTCTGGCGGTCGGCATCCACAATTGCTTGTGGAGGCTTTAGAGGCTAAAGTTAAGATCCATTTGACTTCAAATTTATACACATAGTGTTTGAGGTCATTACTGCCAGAGTTATGGCCCTTGATCACTTTGAAAAAATCTTGTGGACTCTCATACAGTTTTTCGATCAAAATTAGATTTCAATAATAATTATTATTTCATCAGCGTAGAATTATTAACACATATAAGCAAATATTTAATGAATTGAAGACATTTAAAATATACGCCTTCTCAAGTTATCAGCACTGGGCGTTTCTTCGTTTCGTTGTGAATTTTCCGGTAGTCCTAATTTTTATAGCAGAATGAAAAATATGCGGGAAATAAAGGAAACCTCAACGACTAGACGCTGTCCTTGTCAGGCCCTTTATAGTGCGACAATTAGCCACTTTTTAATTCTTTTTATTTAAATGAGATTATATTTGATATTTTGTAGATCGGCTACAGGAGAGGCGTGGCAAGATATTATGTTATCGTGTACAGATAAACCTGATGTATTGTGTGATCCGAGAGCTGATTCAGCAAAAAATGATACGTCTAACGCTATTCCAGAATGCGGCTCTAATATCGCTTATATATACTTCATCTCTTTCTACGTGCTTTGTTCTTTTCTGGTAAATATACAAACTTTTATTTTGTGTTGAGATTTATTCCATTTTGTGTCTGCACTGTAAGAAATGGGGGTTGGGTTTAGAGAGAGACAGAAATGACCATTCTCGTTCTCATTAGCAGTGGGAGGAATCCGGAGGACCCGGAGAAAACCCACAAGTTTGGACAGGTGACCCTACTCCTTGTCAAAGCTCATAAATAATCCGAGACTGGTATTTATTTAATCTATTATAAATGTTTAAATGTCTTTTTCAGATTATAAATTTATTTGTGGCTGTTATTATGGATAATTTTGATTATTTAACACGTGATTGGTCGATATTGGGTCCTCACCATCTAGATGAGTTTGTGCGTCTGTGGTCGGAATATGATCCAGAAGCAAAGTAAGACATGTTTGTTTAATTTATAATTAATAATAATCAATTTGTATAGCGCTGAGTGTTCCAGCACTACTCCAGAGCTTTCTTAATCAACAATTAGGACTATTTGCCCTCTCAAATACCAAAGGAAAACAAAAGATTGACTAGTTACCTAATAGTAAGTGCAGGGGTACTGCACCACACATAAGTGAATGGATCCTGAGGCTAGCTGTAAGCGTCCACTGCGCTGTACAGTCCCGGGCCTGTAGTGATACAACGACTTCACTCAAATTTGAAAACAATCAGGAATATAACCAAGAGAAACCATTGTGTAATGCCAGCATGAGCCATGATCTGCTATATGTTACAAGAAATATGAATGTAAGCATATTGAAGTAAAATTTAACGATACAAGTAACCACATCGGTGAAATGTATAAAAAAACAGATAGTCTAAAAACTAAATGCTCTAAGTCAATTAAGAAACGTTTTAGTATTCAAGTGAATCGAGGCATATTGAATACTGTTAGGGCACATATTTAAATTCAGCTATCGGGACATTGTTAAATCTTCATATTGACCTTAAAGTCTCTGAACATGAGTTAAGCACTATTGGAATACCTTGTTAACTAGAATATCGTGGAAGTTGAATCCCCAATAGGAATATCAGTCCAAAAATGGTTCAATTCCATTCATTATTGTCCCCCCCCCCCCTTTCGAACAAAGCAGGGGACTATTGAAATGGGTTCATCTGTCCGTATGTTCGTCCGTCCGTCTGTCACACTTTTTGGGACACAATAACTCTTTCTAATTGAGCTAGAATGTTCAAACTTGGTGTAGGTGTTTATTATGTCAATGCCTTGATGGAGTTCGAAGATGAGCATTTTCTGCTTAGGGTAAGCAGAGATAAGTCCAAAAATGGTTCAATTCCATTCATTATTGTCCCCCCCCTTTTGAACAAAGCAGGGGACTATTGAAATGGGTTCATCTGTCCGTATGTCCGTCCGTCTGTCACACTTTTTGGGACACAATAACTCTTTCTAATTGAGCTAGATTGTTCAAACTTGGTGTAGGTGTTTATTATGTCAATGCCTTGATGGAGTTCGAAGATGAGCATTTTCTGCTTATGGTAAGCAGAGATAAGCAATTTGATTGGTTGATGCTTTGAGATTTCGGCGGGGGGACATCAGCCTCACTGTTGGCTTGTTTTCAAATTTTTCTAAATGTTAAATAATCAATCTAAGAACATATTAGCGTAGCAGATTAAACCGTGAGAACTTTGATATTTTTAGTAAAATGCAAATCATTACTTTAATAGTACTGTTGCCTGCCTTAAGATTGTCTCCAGAATCTGTTATGTTGTTTCTATTTATTGCATGCAAGTGATTTATTGAAATCAATAATTATCATATCTCTGTGCCAATATGTCCTAGTTGAGCAGTGTCGACATACTTTCTTCCGTTCGTTCGTTCCTGGAGTTTTAGTCCACTTCCACCAAAGGTGATATCATAGACAAGACTTTCTTCCCTATCAATAATGCTTTTTATACACCCACATTGAAATCTTGTTCTCACCACTGGCATCCTTGGTACACAATTTCTTTAGATTTACACACAGTGTTTATGTTCATAAGATGATGAAATATATGGATTTTCCGATAATTACTGCCAGAATTCCAGCACTTGATCAGTTTTAAAAATATTGTGGACACTCTAATTATTCTTTGTGGATAAAATAAATTTCAACATAAATTTAAATTTTGTATTATTTGTTGTTTTCAGAGGACGTATCAAACACTTAGATGTTGTGACCTTGCTCCGAAAAATCTCCCCACCACTTGGTTTTGGTAAACTTTGTCCTCACAGAGTAGCATGTAAAGTAAGTTAGATATCCTTCTTTTCATTCAAACATTGAATTGAATGTCCTTTGGCTTTAGTGATCAGTACTCACCTACTTGGCTGGTATGTCTCGGAGTCAAGTGACATGGTTTGGATCCCAGACTTGTGTCACCTGCCTAACTCAATGTTTTTAGTTTTCGCACGGTCTTTCGGGTTCCTCCCCCTGCCAAAATCAAGGTT